CCTCCCTAGCTAACAACATTTTTTGCATATACTTTACACAAGAAGCAGTGGACCGCATTAGAACAGCCAAAGCTCAGTCACTAAGATTTCTCAGAACCCAACCAGAACCGCTGAAACCTTTGTTGTTCGTTTTTCTCTCCCTCTCTCTCTCTCTCTCTCTTTGTAGTCGTGCTGTAAACATACACAAGCTGCATGGCAATTTCTTCTTAAAGCATCTTTACCAGGTTAAAATTTATCATTGTTAAACTGCTGGGAAACAAAAAAGAAAAAAAAGAAAAACATGTCTCACAGCACAGCTTGATGTCTTTGTGGAGTCCTACCAAAGCCCTAATTTGTTTAGTAGAAGTTATAACCCCGTTTACAGGTGATTTATAGTTGTAACAGGTGCCAAAGTGATTTTACATTGTCTTGGTACGCCTGAACAGAGAAGAGTAATGAATGTGCTGCTGGCAAGGCACGTCGGGCCCTGCAGGAGAGCTGGGGAAGCTGGGTTGTTAGAGAAGCAAAAGAAAGAAAGGCAATGAGCTGGGAGGAGTAAGGAGACACTGAAACAAGGGAAGCAGCAAATCTTAAGAACTACTATACGTCAGCAGAGAGAAAGAGAGAGAAAAAAGAGGCTGTGTCCCAGAAATAAAGTCTTTGTTCTGCCTTGCGTTTATTTTCAAACCACATTTACCCGACCCTCGATGTTTTTGGCCAAACTATTAATGGCCTTGGCATGAAACGGCGTTTGCATAGCTAAGTCTTAATATGAACCTCTTCTCACCTCTAAAACATCTGAATGCTGCAGCTTGTGTGAAGATAACATCTCACGAACACCGACTGCTAGCGCAATAGTCGATTTGCGACTTTTGGGTTTATTAACGCCACCTCTGCGTGACGTCGAGCTCTCATGGCGGCACCAAGCAACAGCTACCCTTAAAGGTGCAATGCAGGTGTTATTAACAGCATGCAGATTCTGAGGAAGGGGGGGGGGAGGGCAAACAAACTTTAAAACTTTCTTAGTCTGCAAGCTGCTACAGCGAGGATGCATTAATGCCTTCACTTGGGTGATGTGAAGCTGCGAGGCGAGATCTATCGGCAGAGGCAATGTGAAATATTTAAATGTTCTCGTTTATGCCTCTGCTTGCTTTTGTCAGTATCTTTGGGACCCATAATAAGGCATTTTCTCACATTTTGGAGCGACAACCACACCCCGTTTTGTGAAATCACCAACAGAGGTTTGGTTTCCAGGAACAAAAAAAACACACAAGAGGAAGAACAACAAGAGCAACATGACAAGACAAAACAAACAGATGTCTGTGAGAGACAGAAGCTACACAGATGACGCTGTCGTTTCGTGTTAATGCCTGCTTGTACAGTCACACTGCAGGAATCCTCCCATTTGGGAAAAACACCATCAATTTCACAGCTTACAGGTATAGGGGCTTCACAAATAACATGACCAGTCATGCTTTTTTATGTGCTTGTTATGCATTATTCTACAGAACGAGGAAGACCAATTTCCAACCAATCCTGAATAATATGTGATTTATTCAATGAAAAAATGTGAGCCTTCATTTTTTGGGGAGGTTTAGCGGGGGTTAGATGGGTGTTTGTGGTTTTTCTCATGCATTTTTTTTTTTTTTGAGAATATGATTTGCTTCACAGAGTAAGTGTTCTTGTGGGATCTGAAAAGACATTCTGCACTACCACATATAATCACATAGTAATCATGCGAAGTTAGACGTTACCCTTTTGCTGATTTAGAAGAATAAAAAGTAAGACGGAACGTGATAACAAACGTTTGCTGGTTCTGCTAAAATTGAGTGGACACATTTTTGTTCTTGTAAATTGAGAGATTGTTAGAGATGGTTGAGCTGGTTTAACGCAAGGAGAAGCATTCTTTTCAGATCTGTCATGGTAGCGCATGCATTTCCACACACACTGCACGAGCTTGAAGTTTTCACAAACTGTGCACCCAACCCAGGATTTTAAAGGCTTTCTGTCGCAAGCTTAGTCTGTGTGTCTGAATTATCACAGCGTTCTTTTAGTGCTTCGGACAAAAGCTGTGATTCAAAACTCAGAAATTTCTGGGAGATATTTTCAACTCTGAACCAGTTCGGATAAGTGTTTGTTGTACCTGCAATCAAACGCCGTAGCTAAATGAAACTGTTTTTGTCTGGTAAACGTGAACATAATGGTCTGGCTTCTGACTCCCTGCTCAAGTCCGTAGCTGTGGCATGGACTGTGACTTGTGCTCATACTTCTGCTTTGAGTTGGGAAAACAACTTTAAATCCAACATTACAACTGTTTCATCACCATGGGGTAAAAACTGCTTCCACAGCAGCTGTTCTTTGTGGGCAATATGTTACCTATCCACCGTTCTCACCCACATTTCTTGCAGAGGATCTTTGGATACGAGCGCTCACGCCACTCTTTTCTTTTTTCTGTATCTCCAATAAACTTCCCCGCATTCGTTCACGCGTTCACCTGACATGAAGCCTCTCAAGACCGGCAACTTCTAAATTAATCTATTTTACCTGACTGCAAGTCATCAGATTATTTACTTTTGGCCCATCTGTGTTGGCTGACTGCTGGGCATTCTGTATAATTTCTGCTTTATTTTCTCAGCTTGTTACTGGAAAGAAGTAGTAACAAGCTGGCTGCAGATCTACTGTAGCCTTTGGAGACCTGAGGGTCAACATGTTGTGCGTACCTTTGCTTTTTAGGCACTAAATCAAGACTGTCATTTAGCAAAAGGAATTAATTTTAAATTCTTAATTTAAAACACATTTCTAAATCAAACCATAATTGAAAAATTATACCCAAGATCACAAAATAAAACCATTTATTTTTTAGTTGCTTAAGTATAATTGGCTCATGCAACACTGAAAAGATGCTGTGTTTCAAACACCATGTGTACATGTTAGTTCATTTTCACCTCTCTCTGCAGAGCATCTGGCTCTATATGTAGGTGTGAGAGTAGTCTGTGAAAGAAGCTAAGATTTATCTTTGTCCTTTAGGGCAATGTCAGGCCTATCCCCTCCCCTCATTTATAAGACTCATCAGCAAGTGCAAAAGCTGCAGAAACAGTAGCTCTGCATTTTATACCCTTTTTATGTGTGTAAATCCATCCATTTACCCCTGTCTCTCTTTTCCCAACATATTTCTTACACCCCCTTCTCCCCCGCCACCAGGCCCCCTATCTCTAATTAATTACAGCATGCAACCTGGGAAAAACTGTGTAAGACAATGGAAGCAAAGATAACACAAATGGAGATATTTTATCTGTAGACAAGCTCCAGGAGGTTTGCACAATCCCATTTGTTGTTTATGAGCTTGTCTTAATAATGTTAATTTATTCAGGTTTAAATGGAAAATGGTATGAATGTCAGAGGTTCATTTCCATATTCAGCTATGCCCTGATCTTTCAGGGATCTTGGTTAGAGGTTGTCAATCAGGCTGGAGTAATAGAGATTTGCCTCAGACCAAATGTTATAATAAGGCCAATTTAGTCCTGTAATTTGCTTTAAAACCTCATTAAGTAAAGAGATGTCTCATTGGCAAATGAAAGAACTTTTATGATTATAGGATCAATTTTTTTTCTCTCTTTGATAGGGGTTGTATGTTATTAAATCATGCAGTATTTTATTTTATTTTCTTTACAACATAAAATACTATGTTCTATCACGGTGGAATAATGTTATCAACCAAAGAAACTACACTATGCTACCGAAAATATTGGCTACCTTCAAAATAAAAGCACACAGGCTTGGACTGATTCCAAACCAGCTGCAGACCAATAGACATTATAAAATTTCTCCTTCTGATTGCCAATCTGGACAACCTTTTCGGGTAATCAGGGGAAATACTCCATATTCCTGCATCTTAAATGCCAGAAGTCCCAAAGTAAACATGGACAGGGTGTTCATTTATTGTTTGACTACTGTAAGAACAAAAATCTGTCCCATTTATTCACCACTTTTTAAAAAGTTATTATTAAACCTAACTTGTTGCCAATCTACTATTTTATGCATACTTTCTCTTTTTTGGGTCAGACAGAGATATGGTGGAAACAACTTCATTCAGGCTTAAGGCCGTAAAGTCAGAGCAAACAGCCTCTGCAAGCCTTACTTCATCTACAAATATCTGCTGTTTCTATCTACTCTTTTAGGAATTGCCTATATACAATTCTTGCTATAGCCCTGCAAAAATAAACCAGCGTCACTGTTTCACACTGTTTACACAAAATTCTATACAAAAATGTTTAGCAAGATATGATCGCAACAATTATTCCCACTACTTGTGAAACTAAATCAAATATTGATTACTACAGTTGTGATTAATGATGTTTACATTTACTTATTTATCCAATGTGATTTTGATGTTGACACCTTGACTTAAGAGGAGGTTCAGCTGATCCTCAATATCCAGCAATGGTTTAAATCAAAAGTCTTGACATAAGACTTGGGGGAAAAAAAACAAAAAACAGCAACAAAAAAGAAAAACAATATACACCACTTAGCCAAAAGTCAAATCCTATTGCAGTAGAAATTAGGTTCAGTATTTCTGAACCTATTATATTATTATTAAAAAATAATAACGGTGCAATTATAATATTATTTTTAAAACATTTAAAAGGGGGTGAATACTTTTCAGAGGGACTGTATGGCGTTATAGTGACAGGATGTATCGCTTCCAGGCTCAGTAGCAGCTGTACCAGAATATTGTGAAACATTTTTAGTGAGGATGTCCGAAAAAATAAATGCGGCCTTACTGTCTCACTTTTCTTCATCTTCGAGGATAGCCACAGAAAAAAGAAAGAAAACTCCTCAGTCACCCAGCTCATGAACTGGTCCTTCTGACGCTTACTCGATAAAAGCCGCAGGCTACATTATTTCTCCACAAAATCGTCTGCTCTTTTAGGAATTTTGGTATTTTATTTTGAAAATCTAAAGAGGAAGCAGTATAATTTCAGCAGCTTGACGCCTGTGTGAGTAGTCCTCCCTCTCCTCCGCTGTGCTTTCCCCACTTGGCTTAGAGGACGTACGGGTGCACCTTACAGTCCTCCGTGTCTCCGTGGCGCAGAACGGGAGGGTCAGCTCTCCGTCAGGGACGCGCTGTGCCCGGGTTCAGAGCATCTGTCCCTGTCCGCTGATCAAATCCGTCCAGAACCAGGACCTCTTACCAGCTGTCATTTGCTGCACTTTTATCAAGCCGGCGGCGGTGTTTCTGGACTCTACTTCTCCCACTCATGCCAGCTGAATAAACTCATCGATCACCGATTAATTTGGGGATATCTGTCACGGCAGATCTACTGATTTTTACTTTGGATACAAGTCGGATCGGGGATGGGGATCCCAGTTTAGTACTGTGGTGAGTATACTGGGAGAGCGCCAACAACTAACCATATTAGCATATTAAGATTGCGCTCACGCCCACAGCCTGTGTTGTGTATTAGTGCATGTGTTTATGAGGTGGTAACATTGTGGATGAATCGCCGTGTTTTCGCGACCGAAACTTTACTAGACACACTATGAGCATGAGCTCATCAGTCATTCTGCTGTAAATAATGTGGCGCGCCTTGCATCACTTTACTACCGTGGAAAAAAAAACACGGTGAACCGTGAGTCAGCGGCGTGCAAGCCTGTGTAAAGGAGAGGATCCAGCGAGTCATCGTGTCTTCTACCTCTAATACATTTATATAAGAACAAACAGCATGACTGACCACAAAAACAACATAGCCGAAATACACAAGTTCAACAGATGTCGCATGTTATTCTGCTGGGGATTCAGGTCTGGGTTCACATTGTACAAAGCATAATTCTATCTTTATTTATTCTTATTTGTAAATTAAAATGTATGGAGACGGTATGGGGCTGTTTGTGCGCCCTGCTGCCAAATTATTATGAGTAAAAATACACGTAATAACACCATTATTTTTTATCTTATTGGCATTAATGTCAACCCCACCAGTCTTCAGAATTCATCATTAAGGTAAGAAAAAAAAACTGAGGAAATACTAAATATAATTAGCAAAATAGCACAGGTTAATTGCTTGCCTTACCAAAACAGAAAGCAGTATTGGTAATAGAAATAGTGTTTTTTTTATCTTACTACATGAGACACAAACTTAAAGCAAATGCTTCACTAAGTAACACACTCTCTGCACTTAAGTTGCAAAACAACTGTACCAAAACTTTAAGATCCGATAGAGCAGAGATCTGCCAATATAGTAAAGCTTTGGTCTGAAGCTTCTGGTCTGTGGCTTATTGTATGATACTGATCTGATAAACAAGACCTTTTTGCTGAGCTGCATGTTTCTTATGCTCGCGTATGGCAGCATCTGGGTTAAGATGCTTGACTTGCACTCACTCTGATTGCTGATTGACCGAGGCATTGCTGTCATTGACCCTGTCTTAGGCGGGGTGCGACTCAGGTTTCAGATTGTGGGAGGTGTTAATAATTTAACTCTTCCTGTGCAGATGGACTGAGCTGTGCCTCAGTGTGACCCAGGGACCACCAGTTGAGCATCGCTGTTGAATGCATCGTCTCCTTCTGAAACAAGAGATGCACGGTTGCTTGGTTCACATGAGAGTGAAGTTTCAACTCTGTGTTTATTTACTGGGAAATCTGCAAAGGACACACATGCTAACAAGGGGACATGATGCACTAAGCGGGTGCTGCACGCGTCTCTGTTCTAGGAGTCGTGTGCATTCCTCCTCTGCATGCTCTACTGGAGGATCTCAGCCTTTTCATCACCCGGTGATGCAGCAGCAGCTTATAGAGCGTTTATCATCTGCCTTTCACAGCTTACTGCAAAGTGAATGAAAATAAAAGCAGCTATGTCCAAAGAAGAGTCAGGTGGAAACGTTTTTTTTTTTTTTTTTTTTTTTTATCCAGATTGCTCCTAATGTTACTTCTGCTGTTGGAACTTGCAATACACACCCACAGCCGAAGTCTCTGCACCATGTCTTCTTGCTGTTTGAGGGCCCGTTTAGAGTGTTTTGGTAGTACATAAATAACACTGAACAGAATTACATGTGATGCTTGTTTGGGATGATTAAAATTAAATCAGGCCCCGCTCTTGTCGCATCGTCGTCGTCTTCTGCTCTCCAGTGATCAAGCAGCTCTTTGTTCGGGCTCTTCTGGGTTCACCGCTTCAGTTGACCTTGTCTGCGCTCCGACCATGAAAGCCTGCTTCCCTAAGCAGCAAGAACAGACATGAATTAAAAGAGACAGCTTGCTCCGGCGGTGCTGAAGACAGGGAGTCATGCAGGTACGAGCCACTGGAAGCAGGGGTCGGTCAGAAGTCAGCGGTAACAAGAACGCAGCAGGTAACAGGCAGCAGTTGGGTCTGCAGGGGATGAGAGCGGCCCGGTGGGTGAGGGTGTGACAGAGGAACGTTTTTTTGGAGAGTGAGGCCAATCTTTGAAGATCACTTTAGGGCAGATTAATGTGGAGGTGAACCTAGAAGCCGTTTGTCTGGTAGAGATGACAGTTTTATTGTCATCAGGGGGTTTATAGCTGTGTCTGTATGGGGAAGGAGTTTTGTGTTTTCCAAAAAAAAAACATCTCACTGTTCTGCTCTGAAAGCATGATGGCTTTCAATTCAGATTTTAGATTTTTTTTTAACTGTGTCTTTAAGAGCTACAGTATTAAGAAGATATAATAACAGCATTAAAATATATTTTTTCCAGCTTGCCTTAGTAATTACTAAATTTGTTTCTTAAGAATAGAAATGATGTCATACTAAGTGAGAGAGAGCAGTCACTATAAATACATACAGGGTTTCCCTCAGTGTATTATAAGCCTGGCGGGCCACCAGGCTTTACTTGTCCTCCCACCAGGCTTTGCATTGTTAATTTGTCTTAGGGTTTTTTTAATTATTGCCTTTTTTAAGACTTTATAGTTGGTGTTTAAGTATTAATTTTCCAGTCTTCCGAAAATGTATAACTATCAAGTAATATTTTCAAATTTCCTGTCAACTTTAAACATTTTTTAACTCAAAAACATGGTGGCCGGCTAGATGACTGTCCTAGTGCCCCGAGCACCGGGCTTAGCAAGTTTTCTGGGGGAAACCCTGACATAGCCCTACTAAAGTTTTATAACATAAAACATTTTTACAGTATTGACATCTTAAATCGGCTTTAACATCTTATACTAGTGATTAGTGAGCTAGCATTACTAAAACAGTAGTGTCTATGGGTATTTTATAGAGTGAAGCTCCGTACCTTAACGCCGAAGTTCCTAAGTCCAGTATGTTTGATGACAGAAAGAGGCTGAGAGCTGGAAAGCATAAAACAGCGCAACTTTGTTGGATAACATCCAGCCTTCCTGTTGTCTTCTGAAAATCGTATTCTCTCACAGCTGGAAATAGATGAACAGAGATGTCTGTGACTGTAAAAAGCCATCTAGCAGTGTTTTTGTGCTTCCTCTAAATGTATTTTTAAACACCTTATTGATACTAAAAATACCTGACACTGAGTGAGTCCTTTCCCCTCCGGAGCGGCTTGTGCACCAAAAGTGTGTTTTTAGGTCTTCTCTGCTAGCTGATCTCTAATTTTATCACCATCCCAGTAACATTTGGCAAGACCTCTGATATTTTGATGCTCAAACCAAAGGACGTCCCAGTGTGTTTTGTGATGCAAGTTTAGGGAAATGGGGTGACTTTACCAAAGCAGCAACTATTTTGCTTTCGACCTTAATGTAAATATATTCAACAATCACAACAGCCATTAATGTTTAGTGTTGTGTCATAAATTAATATTTTTATGAGGCTGGTTATCTTTAACATGGAAGTGCTGAAACATAACTTGTCGCAGTTCATTTACCTCAAAGGTAAATGATGATTTTGCATCATTTACCTTTTCCTCGTGTATTTTTTTTTCATTTTCGCTCTCTCACCACAACGCTTGTGAAGTTGTACAAAGGTTGACAGAGTAAGAGACCCAACACTGTGATGGCTTGTGCCTCTGACAGGCCTTCAAATGGGCTTTGGCTCCATGACAGCTTTGCCTCTGACACAGGGACGACTGATCTCGCCGACGGGTCGCGGCAGATGGACTTTGCCTCTGGAATTGTTCTGTCACGAGAGACGCAAAGAGAAGGAGAGAGAAAGACGGAGGGCAAACAAGGGATTCTGGGGAAACACAAAGAGAGAGGAGGGGGCATCATAGTAGAGACACAACAGGCATCTAATTACCTCCCAATAGGAGCTTTGACTCCATGGAAACAGCCTGTGCTCTCCAGAGCTGCACTCACCTCCGTGCATGCTGTCTTATGTGCAGCTATTGGCGGTCAATCCCTGTGGATTTAGAGGGGTCACCAAAGCAATTGAAGCTTACTAGGTCCCTGTTGTGCTCAGTAAACCACTGCAGTAAGCATTTAGGTTATTTCAATCAGTAGAAGCTCATAGGAATGAAATTATCTATAGATTTGTAGCATTTTTATTAGCTCAGGTGTTCCACCATTTAATGCTAAATATTCCAAATCAAAACCTACTGAACCTAATAACAACTGAGTATGCAAGCACTCCCCCGTCTGTTTTATCAGTTTATAATAGCTGTAAAGATAGCAAATATATATATATATATATATATATATATATATATATATATATATATATATATATATATTTTTTTTTTTTTTTTTTTTTTTTTTTTTTTTATTTTTCTTTTTTTTTTGAAAATTGACACATCACCAAAAATTTACAGA